TAAAATAACTTTTTTTCTAAATTAACACCTATATGGTTTTCATGCTATATTCAAAAACAAAAATCAAACAAAAATTTAATTAATTTTTTGCACATGTAATTAATTATTCTTTTTGTATGTGAAAAGAGTTTAATGTTTTAATTTTGGAAAATAATTATTGGTTATAGAAAGTAGGGTAGAAGTAATTAGGTCACAAAACATCAATTTAACAATAATTTGGTCCTAACTTTTTTTTTTGAAAGATTTGTGAATATGAATTTAGAATAATAGAAATAAGATGTTTAAATCTTATAAGTTATTCACTATTATTTTCAATTCACATTCACCTATTTTGTAATTGTTGTAATAAATAATTACAACTTAACTAACAACTTGAGATATGATGTCAAAACAATGGGTTATCAAAACCATGTTCTAGTAAAACAATGCTTTGAGAGTTTAATCAAAAGTACTCAAATTTCCTTACACCAAATAGTTCATCTCAAGATGTGATATGCATATGTTTATTATATTTTGTGAATGGCTAAGACTGAATCTTTAAAAATAAGTTTTTTAAAAGTAACACCCATATGATACGCAAGTTTGTTCTTGGATTCCTTATAATATTTATGTCAAATTCAATATAGGTATATATTTTTATTGAGCAAGTATTAGGAGTCGCCTTTTTGAGGTTTGTCATTGTGACACATTCAACATCAGTTGAGTCATTGTGTCTCCCTGTGACATGGAGTCTTTTCGTTGCTTATTGCATGAATTTCACCATTGCTCTCATGCATCTCAACCAATTCTTATATTTGATGTGTTTTTTTTTCACTGTTAGTAGCCTATGTGGGCTTTCTTTTTTGTATGTTATTTTATTTTTGTTTAATGCTGTTGGCCCAAGTTGTTCAAACAAGTTATTATACTTTTTTTTTGGAAAAACTAAAAAAAAAAATAAAACTTCACCATTGTAGGACTTGAAGATATTGAGATGTCTCTTATTTTATATAAAAATTAATAATCCAAAGAAAATAAACAAAATTGGGAAGTTGGGGTATTACAAGGATATTATTGAAAGGCACATTAGAGATCCTAAACCCAACATTGTCATTTCTCTGATTTTTGAGCTTGAACCGCTAGCAATTTTCTTAAGGTTGTTATCTCTCTAGTTTTGTTGTAAGTAGATAATATCTGTAGTTGAGTACTATCACAAGAACATGGGTTGAGAATTTGCTTCTGAGCTCCGTAGGCAATCTCAAGATAATTGATTTTGGTTTGAGTAATGTCATGCAAGATGGTCATTTTCTTCAAACCAGTTGTCGTAGCCCAAATAACGCTACTTCAGAGGTTAATTTGCAATTAATTAAACCTTAATTTGGACTGTAATATATATATATATATATATATGTAACCTATATGCTTTAACACATTAGATTGTGAATACTAATTAGCACTGAAATTAATCTACCACAGATTGTAGCTAGAAATCATTAAGTTAGACCAGAAGTGATGTGTGGAGCTGTGGAGTGATTCTATATGTACTTCTTTATGGGAGGCTTCCTTTTGATGAGCAAAACCTTGCAAATGCTTTTTAGAAAATGACAAACGCAAGAGGAAATGCCTTCTTCAAAGGTTCATTGACTTGTGCCTTACTTCCCAGTTCCAGGTAACGTAAATCCAAAGTGCCACGTACTATATTTTGCATGAAATTCAAAGTAAATTATATTGTTCGTTACATATAAATAAATAGCATCATATAAATTGATGGCATGTTTAAGTTCATTTTTCATTGAAATAAAGTTTAGTCAAATCAATTATGTTGTTGTGAAAATTATCTAATTTCTACTACATCTATTTCTATTACTTTTTTTTTTTTGCCAACACTACATCTATTTCAATGACACTACATCTGGTGTCCTGAAAATACGATTTTGCACTAGTGATGACTCCACGTAGTATCTCTATATACGTCACTTATTAGATATTAAATGATATTTTCAAAAAAAAAATATTATCTTTTAAGAATTGTAAATACATTAAATATAATAAAGGACTTTAGTAACTTGAAAAAAAAAAGATGAACTGAAACAAGAATATTCCTTCCATTTCTATATATAAGAGAAAAAAGTCGCATCACAAGTTTGAAAAAATTTGTTGACCATAATAATTATATGTCTGAAAATAAAAAAATTGGACAAAAATAGCATATGTTAATCAATATAAGCATACATTAATTATTTCTTATAAATATAAATTATGATAGATAATTTAAAAAATTTGTAATAAATTTTTATTGAAATATATAATCTTACTTATAAAAAAATAAATCAAAAGTAATACTTCCTCTAACAAATAAAAACAGAGAGAATATTTCACGAGCCACCACCTTTGGGCCATGGAGAAGATTAGACACATGAGGCAAATAGGGCATTTCATCACACTTTTCTAGGAAGGTAGCCATCTCCCAACCATGGCACACAGTCTGTAGAAGTGTGACCTGCAAATTAATGCACCTTCCAAACATGACTCACATGCACAAATTATGTTGTCAAGCATATGATCGAGAGGATTCAACAATAGTAGCACATGTTTTTGCCCAAAAAGAAATTAACTAGAAAGAGGACCATGAGATATGGGCAATTTAATTGGAACAAATAATTACTTAAGAAAAGCAATATTAGGTTTGAAAAGCAACTATTTTTTTTATTGTGTACAAGTGTCCTACTATTAGAAACAATCCTATTCAAAGCACGGTTGGGCACTAAACATAAACATTTCATCTCTTAATAGGAATTTAAACATTAATTCGTCACATTATGAGTGATTAATCCTTTATGCTAGACCTAACCTATTTAGTATCTTTGAAAAATCTTAAATTCTTGCACGCAATCAATCTTTAAGTGGGAATTGAAAGTCCCTTACTCCCCTAAAATCTGTATTTAGTGATGCATGATAAATAGTATTTAGATGATCATTGAATTGAAAGGAATATAAATAATACCAAATAATTCATAACAAAAGGTACAAGTTTAATACTTTTTTGGTATTTCATTGATCTAATTTATTTTTAACAGTGAAGCCTTACATAAGGCATCGCCATGTTCTTCTCCAGGGCTTCAAATTTCATGGGTGATTTCTTGATGAAAGCTAAGACAACTAAAATATGATGAGGATACATTTACATAAATCTCTATCATCTCAATATATAAGCTAACTGCATTTTATAGATGTGAAATTAGGTTTTAGCTTTTGAAAACAATATGCCGTCAAAACAATAGACTATCAAAACCATGTTCTACAAAAACAACGTGCTTTGGAAGTTTCATTAAACCACTCAGATTTTCTTACAAACGGACAACTTACCTCGAGATGTGATATGTATATGTTTGTTATATCTTGTGAGTGGCTAGGATTGAATATTTAAAATAACCTTTTCTAAAGTAACGCCCTTGCGTATTCAGAGAAAATCAAACATAAACTTAATCAATTTAATTTACAGATTTCCTTATAACGGATGACTCACCTTAAGATATGATATGCAAATATCTGTTATAACTTGTGAATGACTAGGATTGAATATCTAAAATAATTTTTTAAAAGTAACACCTATGTGGTTGTCAAGCTATATTCAAAGAAAATCAAACATAAATTTAATCAATTTATTGCATAGATTTCCTTACAATGGACCTTTTCTATTAATTTTAAAACATCATATTTCCTTATAACGAATGACTCACCTTGAGTTATGATATGCAGATGTCTATTATATCTTTTGAATGGCTAGAATTGAATGTCTAAAATAACTCTTCCTAAGAAACACATATGTGGTTTTCAAGTTATATTTAGAGAAAATCAAACATAAATTTAATCAATTTAATTGCACACATTTCTTTACAATGGATGGCTCACCTCAAGATATGATTTGTAGATATCTGTTACATCTTATGAATGATTTTGATTGAACATCTAGAATAATTTTTTTCTAAGTTAACACCTATGTGGTTTTTAGGCTATATTGAAAGAAAATCAAACTTAAAATTAATCAATTTACTACACATAATTAATTATTCTTTTTGTATCTGAAATAATTTAATTTTTTATTTTTGGAAAATAATTACGGTCTATAGAAAGTAGGGCAGAAGTAATTAGGTCACAAAACATCAATTTAATAATAATTTGGTCCTAACTTTTGTTTGAAAGATTTGTGAATATGAATTTAGAATAATACAAATAAGATGTTTAAGTCTTATAAGTTATTCACTATTATTTGCAATTCACATTCACCTATTTTGTAATTGTTCTAATAAATAATTACAATTTAACTAACAGCTTGAGATATGATGTCAAAATAATTTATTATCAAAAAACATGTTCTAGTAAAACAATGCCTTGAGAGTTTAATTAAAAGTGCTCAAATTTTCCTACAATAGATGGTTCATCTCGAGATATGATATGCATATATTTGTTACATTTTATGAATGGCTAAGATTGAATATCTAAAAATAACTTTTTTAAGAAATAACACCTATATGATACGCAAGTCTCCTTGTGGATTCCTTACAATATTTATGTCAAATTCAATGTAGGTATCTTTATTGAGGAAGTATTAGCAGCTGCCTTTTTTAGGCTTGTCGTTGTGGCACATTCAACTTCAGTGTGTCTCCTTGTGACATGGAGTCTTGTTGCTTATTGCATGAATTTCACCATCACTCTCATGCATCTCAACCAGTTATTATTATATTTGGTGTGTCTTTTTATTGTTAGTAGCCTATGTGGTTTTCCTTTTTTTATGTTATTTTAAATTTTTTAATGTTGTTGGCCCAAGTTGTTCTAACTTTCTAACCAGTGATTACACCTTTCATTTTTAAAAAATCATAAAAAATAAAAAACTTCATTGTTGTAGGACTTCAAGATATTGAAATGTCTCTTATTTTAGATAAAAATTAATAATCCAAAGAAAATAAACAAAATAGAAACTTGAGACATTACAAAGAGTATTAGAAAAAAGCACATTAAAAACCTTTAGTCCAAGATTGTCATCTCTCTAGTTTTTGAGCTTGAACCACCAGCAATTTTCTTGGGATTGTCATCTCTCTAGTTTTATTCGAAGTAGATAATATCTGCAGTTAAGTATTATCAACAGAAGATGGGTTGAGAATTTGCTTCTGAGCTCCGTAGGCAATCTCAAGATAATTGATTTTGGGTTGAGCAATGTCATGCGAGATGGTCACTTTCTTCAAACCAGTTGTGGTAGCCCAAACAATGCTGCTCCAGATGTTAACTTGCAATTAATTAAATCAATTACATATAAATTGATGACATGTTCAAGCATATTTTTCATTAAAATAAAATTTTTTTGGTTAAATCAATTATCGTGTTGTAAAAATTATCTAATTTCTACTACATCTATTTCTATTACACTACATTTGGTGTCGTGAAAATATGATTATACACATCACTTATTAGATATTGAATGATCTTTTCAAAAAAATATTATCTTTTAAAAATTGTAAATACATTAAATATGATAAAGGACTTTAGTAACTTGAAAAAAAAAGATAAACTGAAATGAGAATATTCCTTCCATTTTTATTCATAAGAAAAAAATCATATCACATAATTTTAAAAAAATTAATTAATTATAATAATTATGTCTGAAAATAAATTAAAAGTAATCATTTCATTAACAAATAAAAATGGAGAGAGTATTTCATGAGCCACCACCTTTGGGCCATGGAGAAGATCAGACACACAAGGCAAATAAAGCATTTCATCACACTTTTATAGAAAGGTAGCCATCTCCCAACTGCGGTACCCAACCTGTAGAAGCATGACCTGCAAATTAATGCATCCAAACATGACTCATACACAATTATGTTATCAAGTATTTGATAAAGAGGTTTCAATAATAGTTGCATGTTTTTGCCCAAAAAGAAATTAACTAGAAAGAGGACCACGAGGTGTAGGCAATTTAATTTGAACAAATAATTAATCGAGAAAAGAAATATTAACTTTTAAAAGTGACTTTTTTTTTATTGTGCATATATGTCTTGCTATTAGAAACAATACTATTTGAAGCATGGTTGGTTGCTAAACATAAATATTTTTTTAACAGAAATTCAAATATTAATTCATCATATTATGAGTGATTAGTTCTTTATGCTGGACATAACTTAGTATATCTCTAAAAAAGTCTTGAATTCTCTCACGCGATCAATCTTTAAGTGGGAATTGAAAGTTCCTTGCTCCCCTAAAATCTAGGTCTTTAGTGACGTATGATAAATAGTATTTAGATGATCATTGAATGGAAAGGAATATAAACAATACTAAATAATTCATAACAAAAAGTAAAAATTTATTACCTTTTTGGTATTTCATTGATTTGATTTATTTTTAATAGTGAAGCCAAATGTTAGTGGCATTGCCATCTTGATCTCCATGGGGTTCAAACTTCATGGGTGATTTCTTGATGAAAACTAGGACAAATAAAATATGATAGCGATACATTTACATAAATCTTAGTCATCTCAATATATGAGCTCACGGTATTTTATAGATGTGAAATGAGGTTTTAGGTTGACAAAACAATGTGCCGTCAAAACAATGGACTATCAAAGCCATGTTCTAGCAAAACAACATGCTTTGGAAATTTCATTAAACCACTTAGATTTCCTTACAAATGAACGGCTCACCTCGAGATATGATATGCATATGTTTGTTATATCTTGTGAGCGGCTAGGATCCAATATTTAAAATAACCTTTTCTAAATTAATGCTTTTGCATATTCAAAGAAAATCAAACACAAATATGATCAATTTGTTGCTCATATTTCCTTGCAATAGACCTTTTCTATTTATTTAAAACATCAAATTTCCTTGTAACATATGCCTTGAGATATGAGATGTAAATGTTTGTTATATCTTTTGAATGGTTATAATTGAATATCTAAAATAACTTTTCCTAAAGTAACACATATGTGGTTTTCAAGTTATACTTAGAGAAAATCAAAAATAAATTTAATCAATTTAATTGCACATTTTTCTTTACAACAGATGGCTCACCTCGAAGTATGATATGTAGATATCTGTTACATCTTATAAATGATTAGGATTAAATATCTAGAATAACTTTTTTTCTAAATTAACGTCTATGTGATTTTTAGGCTATATTCAAAGAAAGTTAAACTTAAGTTGAATCAATTTTCTGCACCTGTAATTAATTATTCTTTTTTTATTTGAAAATATTTTAATTTTTTATTTTTGACAAATAAGTATGGTCTATAGAAAGTAGGGTAGAAGTAATTAGGTCACAAAACATCAATTTAATAATAATTTGGTTCTTATTTTTTTTCATTTGAAAGAGTTTTTAAAATATGAATTTAGAATAATAAAAATAAAATATTTAAATCTTATAGGTTATTCACTATTGTTTACAATTCACATTCACTTATTTTGTAATTGTTTCAATAAATATTCACAACTTGGCTAGTAGCTTGAGATATGATATCAAAACAACGGATTATCAAAACCATGTTCTAGTAAAACAGTGCATCTCAATAGTTTATTTTTTTTACCAACCACTTTAATAGTTTAATTAAATCACTCAAATTTCCTTACAATAGATGGCTCATCTCGAAATATGATATTCATTGTTTGTTACTTTTTATGAATGGCTAGGATTGAATATTTTAAAATAACTTTGTCAAAAGTAACGCTTATATGACAAGCAGGTTTCTTCTTGGATTCCTTGCAATATTTATGTCAAATTCAGTGTAGGTTGTTTTTAATGAGTAGGTATTAGCAGTCATCTTTTCAAGGCTTGTTATTATTATAATGTTCACATTGACATTATCAGAATATATCATACAATTAATTTTACTAGTTATTAGGGAACCATTAACTCCAAGACTTGACACAATTGAAATAAGGGTTTAATAAAATAAGTAATTGAAATCATTAAAAATCATTAAAAGTCAAGATCTTGCCAAAAGCCCTTTTTGAAATATTGGCTAAGCTTAACATGTTATTTAAAATTTACAGTTAAACAACATAGGGAAGCATAAGGATTGAAATAGGAACAAATAATCGAATTTAGGGTAAAATTGTACTTTGCCATAAAAGAGCACATCCATTATTTTAACCTATCATTTGCTACAGCGAATGACATAGCTAGTATATGCCATAACCAAAAAACCCATTAGCTGTGTCCAATTACCATAGAATATTTCGCTGTAGTGCATACAACATACCATGGCAACTCACTTGCTGTTATAACAATATTTGGAGACAATCTTCTATTGTGCATCAATTCTCCGTCCAACATCCAATCAGAGTGGTTCAAGTATCTACATGAAGCTTACTCAATTCTCTAACTAATGGCACTAGTTCCACACCAAGATAACATAGTGTTAGAAAGTTGGACATTCAAATGCAAGAGTCCCATATTCAAAACTTAAAATGCATTCACACGGCCCAAACCTTAACAGAGTACCAATAGCTTCAATCGAGGCTTGAACCAAGTTTGATAGACTGACAAATGCTTGATAAAGCAATTACACGCATCATATCACCATTCAAATACACATTGATCATTAAATACCCACTTAACTTTCACAAAAAAGGGCAGCTCTATAAATGGCATTGGCCAACTAATAGCAATCAATCATTAAACATCAAGTCTATTATAACTAATCATGCACTTGCATGAGTAATTTGGCCATAACACAATCTCATTAAAAGATACACAACACATGCCAAATTACCATATTGTCAGTCACACAATTCATGCAAGTACACCCATAAGAATAATATGTTTCTAGATTGGCAATGTAAAAAAAAAAAACACACACACACACATGCACGCACACATTCAATTACACATAATATAAATCAAAAGTCCAAGGGCAATATGCATGAAGCAAAGCCTGTATACTCCTTCCTTGATCGACTTCCCCTTGTCTCTACCAGCGCTGTCTTGTAAAATTACAACAATAGGGTGAAACAGAGTCTTAATAATAAAATAAGTTATACTACCTATTAATTAGTCAAAACACAAAGATCATGCAAAGTGAGATATTAAACAAGTTACATGATTATGGCACAACACAATATTATAGTCAATTCACAACTCACAATGCATGATCCATAAGTTCCAACTGAACCTACTAAATGCCAATGACTAAATCTATGGGGCAATTCAAATTGAGCTAGTATATGTGACTAGACCAACTCAAGCACACCAAATTGAGAAAATGACCCGGCCAAGGCCTTGTTCCACTTTCAGATCATGGTTTCCCCCTTTTTGAATAGTCAAGGTGTTGCTTGCCTAACTACCACTACATGATGTGAGTAAGGACTTTCAAACAGATATAGCCAAACACCAGGGGCACATGCAATGTCAAGAGATATCATATGATTTTGCTCTACTTCCTCTTAGGGTGAACCTCCTACCCTCACATGCTCGATCATGTAATTATATGTTGTATTGATCCATATCATATAGATGTACAATCATTATGACATTATCATGAAATTAAATTCATGAAACCAACATTTATAAATAAATATAAATAATATAGTTTCAAAAGCATATTTTCCACTTCACATAGAGTTCTAAAACTAACTCAAATACCTACATGCTTGCACTTACGTATATTTACATTTTTTACACATTTTATAAACCCCACATATGGTCTAACAAGTCAATAAATAGGGCAGATTAATCGATTACCTCAACCCTTTTATTTCTAAAAAGGGTTACATGCAGAATTCAATATTTTCCTAAGCCTCCTCAAGCTCAAACAAACACTAAGCAACTACAATCTACATGATTAAATACTAATAATTATGAGCCATAATATAAACATTTTGTAACATGCTCCTTATTATATCAAATCACTTAATCATTAAATCATTAAATCAACTAATATGGCACAAAAAGGAAAAAAGATAATTAAAAAATCTTCCACATTAGAAAAGGTATTTTCTCAAAATTTAGAAAACTAACCATGATAAAAAAAGAGTTTAATTAAGCCTTGGAATACCCTACCATGGTTATAAAAGTAATATAGTTAACTTAAAACATCAACAATGATATAAAATGTTTAATCATATATTGAAAGAAACTATCATGCTTAAAAATGATTAATCTTGGCTTTAATGACTATTCTTGATAGAAAAGAGCTTGCCTTAACTTTAGAAAAACTATCATGGATAAAAATTTCCTTCCAATCAATTACAAGCAAAATATCACGCTCTGATACTAAAAGTATGATCGGCATAGAATATGAGATACACTCATATTCCCTAAACCTTAATTAAATAGATATAAAGATAAAATATTGATAAATAATCACTGCTAGTAAAAAAGTCTCTAATATATATATATAATTATAAAGTTGATAAAATCTTAAAAAAAATTAGAAATTTTTGAAAAATTTTTCCTGTAATTAAAACCTCCCAAAATTTCTACAGTAACAAAACCTATTAGCTAAACCAAAAAGGAACTTAGCTCCACACTAGCATATTTCACAATAATAAAATAAGATTAGAACTTAACTACGATATACATGAAGCACTAAGTTACAATTTCATAAAATATAATATATTTACAACAAAAGTAACTAACACATGCTTCCATAGTAAAAAATAATAATAATTGTATTCCTCAGTGATCAATAGGAGGTACAGAGTCAGTTTTAATATTTGAGACTAAATTTTTTTTTTCAGTGAGCAGCGTTCCAATTCATAGTTAAAGGGAATAATGGAAAGCAATCAATGAGCCAATTATAAATTTATTAAAATAATTAATTAAAAATAACATAAATTAAGAATACATAAATACAAATGAAATTATTGAAATTTAAAATTCTAAATTATTAAATTTTCACACACACTTAAACCTCTTGTGATATATATATATATATATATGTATATATTACTCAATATAAAATCTACATATAGTAAAGAAAATAGCAATTTACTATTTGAGATCAAATTTAAAAAAAAAATAGTTTCAAAATTCCTTCTTTAGTGAAATTTGATCAGAATGATTAATAAGCATGAATACACAGTCTAGAAGGGTAAGTAACACATCTAGTGTGACAATAAGCCACAAAAAATAAGCACAAGCATAAAGCTCATGAATAATAGGCGCAGATTATATCTATGAAACTACATCCTCCATTTCACGTGTGTTGGCCAGCACACGAGGCTAATACTTTTGATGCATCCTACTAGCTAGGTGTACCATGGCGTACCAAGGGCTAACAAAACTGCCGTTAGCATCTAGCGTTTTGAACTTAATTTTTCTAATTAAATCAAGCGTGCATGGAGTTAAAAATATTCATTGAAAACTATTTCTTTCAAAATATAATATTCAACTATCAAATTTTATTTTCAAATTTTTTTCATGCACAAATCACCATGTTAACCACTGTCATATAAATTGTAAAATTTAAACCACAAAAATTTTTAGAATAAATAATCAATTA